TAGTGGGCAGGCTTTAGTGAGTCAAGAGGTAAATGACGTGCCGCTGGACTTCTAGCCTGTGACCTGCTCTTGTAGCTACTGTGTTTATGTAGCAAGTCCAGAATGTTGATAGTGGGGGATTCAGTGATGGTAACACCATTGAATGTCAAGAGGTGGTGATTAGATTTTCTCTTATTGGAAATGGTCAGTGCCTGGCATTTGTCACTTGTCAGCCCAAGGCTGGTATTGTCCAGATCTTGTTGCATTTGAACTTGGACTGCTTCAGTATCTGAGGTGCTGCGAATGGTACTGAACATTATGCAATCATTGGCAAACATTCCCACTTCTGACCTTATGGAGGGAAGGTTATTGATGAAGCAGCTGAAGATGGTTGGGCCTAGGACACTACCCTGAGGAACTCCTGCAGAGATATCCTGGAGCTGAGGTGACTGATCTCCAACAACCACAACCATCTTCCCATGTGTCAGGTATGACTCTAACCAGCAGAAAGTTTGCCTCATGATACCCATTGATTCCGATTTTGCTAGGGCTCCTTGATGCCACACTCAAGCAGAATTTTTATCAGTAGTATCTGCAAATTTAATCCTAGAACAGGATGTTTATCAGACATTGGTGTCTGAAAGTTAGTATTTTCACTAGAGAAAGCACTCGTTCGAATGTGTAAAGCCCAGAGGTTCACTTTGCTGTCTATGCCCCTTGATGTCAAGACTGTCACTCTCACCTCACCTCTGAAATTCAACTCTTTTGTCCATGTTTGAACCAAGGCTGTAGTGAGATGAGGAGCTGAGTGGCTCTGGCGGGACCCAAACTAGGTCTTGTTGAGCAGGTGTGCTTTGAAAGTACTGTTGATGCTACCTTCCCATCACTTTACTGATGGTGTAGAGAGAGAGGGTGGTCTGTGAAATTGGAACATTGGAGACATTGCTGACATTATCATGTGGTCAGAGGTACTGGACCTCCTCAGCATAGTGTCTGTGAGACTCCGTGATCTCCAGCAAAGTGAACCTCAGGGCTTTATACATTCTAACGAGTGCTTTCCCAAGTGAAATTATTTGCCTTCAAACACCAGTGTGTGAGAAACATCCTGTCTTATGACCTAAATTTGCAGATGCTACTGACAAAAATTCTGCTTGTTACTCAACTGAGCAGATCACAAGATCACTCCTTAACCCACTGTGGGAAGTAGAGTAGTAATTTGGTCAGTGATTTGCGAGTTACTGATGAAGAGTTGGGTACTGAAATCACCTGGCACAGTATGGTGTTCCATTCTTAAACCGGGATGGCCTTGGCTAACCTGAGGCGAATGGTGGCTCAGTGGCTTTGTCACTGCGCTAAGAATTGACAGACCAGGACGAAAGATCCAGTGGTGAGTTTGAATCCTAGCACAAGAGCTTTGCGATCCCTTCATTAAATAAATCTGGATAGAGGGAGCACCAGTTGGGATGATGGTAAGGAGCAAGCAGATAGATTTGGTTCACTCATGTGCGTGGTGGATCTGAGCTCTCTCTGATTCCAGACTTTCTGCTGTCTAATTGTATGAAGATTCATTTAGAAACTGATCAGAAACCGAGACCTGCACTGAGGGAAGAGGGAGAATGCTGATATCATTCAGACTGCTAGGAAACTAGTCATATGCTTCCTATGGTGGCTGTTGTGTGACAGTGAGTGAGTCAGTGCTGTGGTTTTACTGTCATCGCCTCGCTGGGAGGGCTTGCTCATTTCACACAAGAATCCATTCCTGTTTGAAATAGAGACAAAGCATCTTCGAATCTAGCCAGCTGGGCCAGGGCAGTGGGACCAGTCCACAACTCATACACTCCTGCTGGGAAAGAACCCTGGAGGGTGGACAGCACGTGGTTAGATACAGAGTAAAGCTCTCTCTCTACACTGTCCCCATCAAACACTCCCAGGACAGGACAGCACAGGGTCAGATATGAAGGATTGCCCTGGGTTGTAACACTGTCTGGGGGGTCCAGGAACATGCTCACTGTATTACTGTCCCCCTGGGGTACAGCACCGTGGAAATAAGGGGTCAGGAACAGTGGGAGTTGGTGTTCACTTGCAAATGTTTTTCTGGCTGTTTGTTCCTTCGCTGTGTGAACTGACTGCCTATGTGTTTACTTACAGGATCCAGCAGTTCTGGAGCATAGCACTGAGCATCAACAGCCTGCTCTGAACCAGCTTTACAACCCCTTTGATGAAGGCAGAGGGGTAAGTGAACAGGAAGGCCACTAATAAGACTAACCACAGACGGTAACAAGTGATATTGCACTTGGTAAGAAAGGAAAATGTCCAGGTAACTGTCTGAGCCTCAAACAACATGGCACTGAACCACTCGGTTAGATTCCAGTCTGTAAGTCACTGCCAGGTATCGGTTGCTTTGTATATAAACCCATTGATTAGATCCCAGTGTCAAAGATAAACTGGGAAAACTGCACCAAAAATTGTGCTCCACTTTCCACAATTCAGAATAAAATGTACGAAAATTCAACTGAGATCACCAAAACCCATTTTTTTTTTCTGAAGAAGACCTGAAACGTCGGCTTTCCTGCTCCTCTGATGCTACCTGGCCTGCTGTGTTCATCCAGCTCTACACCATGTTATCCCAGTTTTGCTAGGCTGACTTCTACCTAGTCACAAAGTAATCAAAAGTAGGTTACCTCAGTAACAGTACAATTAATGATATGTGCAGCAGTGAAGAGAAAGGATTTATAATTTCTGTGACTTTGACTGTAGCCCTTCAAAGCCCCAGACTCCCCCTCACATGCACACGCATAATTCAGGCAGTTTAACACATCCACAAAGAATGTAGTCAGGGTGAAGGCAAATCTGAAGATTGAAGTGCAGATCATTTCCAATGTTGTTTACGATGACTGTCAACCTTCAATGTGAATGTCATCCAGGTGAAGTTGTTTCTTTTTTCATTCATTCTTGGGATGTGGGCGGTCACTGCCTGGTTAGCATGTCTTGCCCATCCCTAGTTGGCCCTTGAAGGTGATGGTGAGCTGCCTTCTTGAACCACGGTCAGAAATCACACAACATCAGGTTACAGACCAACAGGTTTATTTGAAAACACAACCTTAATCCTCCTTCAGGTGTTATTGAGAGATAGTGCCAGGCACATAATTTATAAGTAAAAGATCAAAGGGTCACACCTCTGAGGATGTACTAAGATAGAATTTGGCATTGTGGCTCAACCCACGGTAAGGGGACTGCAGCGGTTTCTTGTATGAATTCTTTCTTTTTAAGCTCTCTTAAACAGTCTGTCTTTTTCCCCACAGAGACCTGTAGGCTTTGGATGTTTTTCTTCTCTTGTTAACAGCTTTTTGAACCATACTGTGTTAAATCAGAGGCCGCTGCTAGGCAGAAGTTCAGTCTCAAATTCCCCTTCTTATTGCTTCCAACATTGTATTGCACAGCTCAACTTTATTTTTCAAGTTGCAAAGTCTACCTGGTCTTCCGGTTATAGCAGTCCAACTTCAAGTTCAGTTTATAGTCCCAAGAAAATGACAAATATGTGACCTCTTAGACCAGCTTTTGAATTGAAATTTGCAGCAGATCTGTCTTTCATTGCAGTGGTCAACATGAGCAGGGCCACCTAGCTTGTTGGCGGGTGGTACAGTGACTGAACTTGGTCTTAGGATGGAATGTCAGCTCTGAGTGTGCCTAGGCTGTGGAGGGAGCTGACCATGTTGACAAATAAGTGCAAAGCACAATCAGTGGAGGGAGCTAGTGTTAAAAGTGAAAGAATGAAGAATCTGTGTGTGTTCAGATTATGGTTTCCACAGCCTTTGGCCCTTTTCTGGGAACTGAGCCTATTCCTTGAGACGGGTCATTTAGCCACAAGGTGCATCACAGCTGGCGCAGTTCCATTCTCATCGACTCCTGCCACAAAAATGTGTCACTTGACAGCAATCAGGAGCAAAATGGCTGATTCCCTCTTCACCAAGACCAGGAGAAACTGTCACTGATTCAGCCCAGAAAGGGAATGAAGTATGGAATGGTTTCAGAAAGGTGCTGGGGAAGCTGAGTCTCTGCAGTGCTTTCCCCTCTGATGTGTTGTTGACTGGGCTCCTGCCATTGTATGGCCTGATCGAGCTAATGTTCAGCTGTTTGTGTGTGCACCCCGTCTGTTCACAAGCCTTTGAACTTAACACCATCAAAATCTAGATCTCCACTATGGAGGTGAGTGAGTGGTGAGCCTTGGGTCTGTTTAAAAGCTTTGTGTTTATTTCCAATTGCTGAATCTCTGGAAGCTTCAGAGCTTCCTACAGGCTGACTCTATTAGCACTGGACTGAACGAGTGCCACACTGTTGGAGGTGCCGGCCTTGAGGTAATGCTTTGAAACTAGGCCCACTCTCACGTTGGACCTAAAAGATGTCACAGCCACATTGAAAGAGGAGCTTTCCTCATTGTCAGGAGCGTCATGGAATCCTCCCCACTTGCCTGGATGGGTGCAGCTCCGACAACGCTCGAGAATCTTGACACCATCCAGGAACAAGCAGCGTGCTTGATGAGCGTCCTGTAACCCGGTTTTCAATTTGATTTTCAGTAACAGCAGTGTGCACCATCTGTAAGATACACTGTAGAATTCCCTAAGACTCCTTTTTTTTTTAAAAAAAAAAAAGCACTTCCAAACCCATGATTGTTTACAAGGACAGGAGGAGTATATACATGGGAACACCATAGCTGCAAGTTGCCCTCCAAGCAAGCCACTGACTGTCCTGACTTGGAAATATATTGCTGCTGCTTCAGTGTCGCTGGGTCAGAATCCTGGAATTCTGTCCCTAGCAGCATTGTGAATCTATCTACAGCAAATGGGCTGCAGTGATTCAGGAAGGCAGCTCGCCACCACCTTCTCAAGGGCAACTAGGGACGGACAATAAATGCTGACCCAGATAGTGATGCCCATGTCTCCTGAATAAATATGACAAACCTCATCCAACAGCACCAACTAAAAACCAATTATCTACACGTTATCAAATAATTCTTTCTGGAACCTCAAAAGCTGGTGGTATTGGCACACATGCTTCCCACTTTCCAAAACTTGCTACACATTTTTTGTTTTTTTTGGCAAGAAATAATTTCAGTATTTGTTAAAAGCTTTAGGCTGTGAGTGGATAAGGATGTTCTATAGATGCAAATATTTCACCTGTTTCTTTGCCTGCTGGGGAGTCGCTCGGACATACTGGATGATGTCAGGTTCTGGGCTCTTTTGAAATGATAAATAGGTAATGACAAGACAGGTTTGACAGTACAGCTGATCGCAGTCTGTTGGGAGACGGGCTGAATGTAAAGGAGCTGCAGAGGAAACACTACATACTGATCTACAACAAAAACTGGGTGCACTTATATCATATCTATAACGGAAGGCAGCATTTGAAACTAAGGCACAAAATACAGGAGGAAAGATGGCCATCAACTTGCAAAAGAGGCCAGTATTGAAGGAATATCTTAGAGGAGGAGAGGATCAGGGAGGGAATTCCAGAACTCGGGGCCCCAGGCAGCTGAAGGCACGGCTGCCAAAGGTAGGACGATGGAAATCAGGGGATGTGCAAGAGGCTGGATTTGGAGGAGAGCAGAGATCTCTGGGGGGTGCAGGGGGCGGAGGGGTTGGCAGAGACAGGGAGGAGGTGCAGGGGGCTGGAGGGGGTGGCCGAGACGGGGGGGGGGGGGGGGGGGGCGCGGGGGGCGGCCGAGACGGGGAGGGGGCGCAGGGGGTGGCCGAGACAGGTGGGGGGCGGCAGAGGCCTGTGTCTGTGTCCACCACCTGGGAGTAAATATGGACTGATTCTGTGCACACTGGCCTGGGGGCAGGTGGGGGATGGAGGTGGCGCATTCACACTGACTGGGGTGGGGAGGGGACGAAGTGGGATGGGGTAGCAGTAGGCTGACAGTTTTGTTTTTGCCTTTCAGCACAATCGTGCTCCTATAATGACCACTCCCCTGCCCCCAGCTCAGCCACCAGAGCAACCCGTTGTGCCTTCAGTATGTCAGAACCCCCGGAGTCCGATGGAGCACCGTTCATATGGAACCCAGGTGTGTTATAGACCCCTTTGCATAGAGACTGTAACCTCCATCTGCCCACACGGGCTGTATCACAGGCCAACACAAACAGAGGGGGCAGGCGTGGGCACAGACTCTCACTTCCCCTGGCCCACTGCAGCCGTTGTTGCTCCATGCCAGTCTCTTGGTGAACTCGGTCAGTGTAAGAGCTGTGATTTGCCAATGTGCCCTCCCCTGCTTTCTACCTGCCGGTACTGTGTCCTGTCGGCTATGATTGGCCTCGTTGTAGGAGCCAGTCTGGTGTCTCACACTGACTCACCAGCGTACTACTAGGTGACTTGGTTCTGGCCACTCCACCCTGTCGGCCCAGTGGTCCTGCTCTAATCTGCAGGTGTCGAACCTGTCATCTCTATTTCTCTCACTGGCATATGGAGAGAATGAGATCCTTTATTGAATTAGTCCTGGCTCCATGCAATCAGAATCAAGCTTTAGCCAGATCGAAATCAGCATTCTGGTTGGTGTCACATGCCTGTCTGGGAACACCCTGTTACATCTTGGTAATCTCTCAAGGCTGTCCCTTCCTCCACTCCCTGCTGCATTTCACCAGTTACTCCTGAAACCCCTCTGTCCTTCTTTGACACGCTCCTTTCAGCACTCGGACGGTCTCATTCAGCATCTAATTGGATTGCACTGCCTTGCACTGTCATTGGGCCGTTCTATGATGTTAAAGCTGCTGTGTTGATTTTGAATTTTTCAGAAGCCCACGACAATGCTCACGGCTGACCTGCTGAGGCAGCAGGAAGAGCTGGAGAGGAAAGCAGCTGAGTTAGACCAAAAGGAGCGAGAGCTACAGAATGCAGCCATCTCATCCAGCAGTGAGTCTGAGTGTCCAGCACTCATCTCCTTCACTGTTACAACCAGACAGTTACAAACCTGCATTACTTACAGTCACAGACTCCTTACGATGCAGATAGAAGCCATTTGGCCCATCAAGTCTGCACTAACCCTCCAAAGAGCGTCACACACAGTCCCATCCACCCCCATCCCCGTAACCCCACATTTACCACGGCTCGTCCGGTTAACCAACACATCCCCGGGCACCCCGAGACAATTTAGCACGGCCAATCCACCCTAGCCTGCACATCCCTGGGCACTATGGGGCAATTTAGCACGGCCAATCCACCCTAACCTGCACATCCCTGGGCACTATGGGACAATTTAGCACGGCCAATCCACCCTAACCTGCACGTCCCTGGGCACAATGGGACAATTTAGCACGGCCAATCCACCCTAACCTGCACATCCCTGGACACTAGAACATAGAACAGTACAGGCCCTTCGGCCCACGATGTTGTACTGAACTTTTACCCTAATCCTAAGGTCTATCTAACCTTCACCCCTACCTTATACTATCATCCATATGCCTATCTAATAGCCGCTTAAATGCCCCTAATGAGGCCGACTCCACTACGCTCTCCGGCAATGCATTCCACACCCCTATCACTGTCTGAGTAAAGAACCTACCTCTGACGTCTCCCCTATATCTACCTCCACTCCACTTTAAAACTATGCCCCCTCGTAATAGCTACCTTCACCCTAGGAAAAAGTATCTGGCTGTCTAGTCTATCTATACCTCTGATCATTTTGTACACCTATCAAGTCACCTCTTATATTTCGTCATTCTAAAGAGAAAAGCCCTAGCTCTCTCAACCTTTCCTTGTAAGATCTTCCCTCCATTCCAGGCAACATCCTGGTAAATCTCTTCTGCACTTTTTCCAACGCCTCCACATCTTTCCTGTAATGAGGCAACCAGAACTGGACCCGATACTCCAGATGTGGCCGTACCAGGTTATTGTATAACTGGAGCATAACTTCACTGCTCTTGAACTCAATCCCTCTATTAATGAAAGCTAACACACCATACGCCTTCTTGACAACTCTATCCACCTGGGTGGCAGCTTTCAGGGAACTGTGAACATGAACCCCAAGATCCCTCTGCTCCTCCACACTGCCAAGAATCTTTCCGTTAACCCTGTATTCTGCTTTCAAGTTTGTCCTTCCAAAATGAAATACCTCACGCTTTTCAGGGTTAAACTCCATCTGCCACTTCTCAGCCCAGCTCTGCATCCTATCAATGTCCCTTTGTAACCTGGAACAGCTCTCCGCACTGTCCACAATGCGACCCACCTTCGTATCGTCCGCGAACTTGCTAATCCGCCCTTCCACTCCTTCATCGAAATCATTTACAAAAGTCACAAATAGAAGAGAACCCAGGACAGATCCTTGTGGTACACCACTTGTAACTGAGCACCATGTTGAATATTTTCCATCCACTATCACCCTTTGTCTTCTAAGGGTCAGCCAATTCTGAATCCAATCTGCCACATTTCCCCCTATCCCATGCCTCCTTACCCTCTGCATGAGCCTACCATGGTGAACCTTATCAAGCGCCTTACTTAAATCCATGTATACGACATCCACTGCTCTACCTTCATCCACGTGTTTGGTCACCTTTTCAAAGAATTCAGTAAGGTCTGTGAGGAATGATCTACCCCTCACAAATCCATGCTGCCTGTCACAAATCAAACTGTGCCTTTCCAAGTGATCGTAAATCCTATCTCTTAGAGCCCTTTCCAATAATTTGCCCACCACTGAAGCAAGACTAACTGGCCTATAATTTCTGGGGTTATCCCTATTCCCTTTTTTTTTTTTTTTTTTGAACAAGGGAATGCCGTTTGCCTCTCTCCAATCTTCCGGCACTATACCCATGGACTGTGAGAACGAAAAGATCATCACCAAAGGCCCTGCGATCTCTTCCCTCACTTTCCATAGAATCCTTGGATAAATCTCATCAGGCCCGGGGGGACTTATCTATCTTCAACTTCCTCAAAATTCCTAGTACATCTTCCTTACTAACATCGACCTCCTCTAGCCTACCAGCCTGTTTCACACTGTCCTCCCCTACAACTAGGTCCCTCCCAGTTGTGAATACCGAAGAAAAGCATTCATTAAGGACCTCTCCTATCTCTTAAGGCTCGGTGCACAAATTTCCTTTACAATCCTTGATCGGCCCTACCCTTTCTCTGGTCATTCTCTTATTCCTCACATACGTGTAAAAAGCCTTGGAGTTTTCCTTGATCCCATCTGCCAAGGTTTTCTCATGCCCCCTTATAGCTCTCCTAAGCTCTTTCTTCAGCTCCTTCCTGGATAACTTGTATCCCTCTAGAGCCTTTTCCGTTCCTTGTTTCCTAAACTTTACATAAGGATCCTTCTTCCTCTTAACCAGTCGTTTGACCTCTCTCGAGAACCAAGGCTCCTTCACTCGACCGCATCTTCCCTGCCTGCTGGGGACAAACATATCGATTAAACAATCTCCACATTTCAATAGTGCTCTTCCCTGACAGTATCTATTCCCAATTTATGTTACCCAGTTCTTGCCTAACAGAATTATAATTACCCTTTCCCCAATTATAGACTGCGGGGCAATTTAGCACGGCCAATCCACCCTAACCTGCACGTCCCTGGGCACTACGGGGCAATTTAGCACGGCTAATCCACCCTAACCTGCACATCTGGAAACTGGAGCACCCAGAGGGGATGCATGCAGACTTGGGGAGAACATGCAAACTCCACACAGACAGTCGCACGAGGGTGGCATCGAACGCGGATCCCAGGCATTGTGAGGCAGCTGTGCTGCCCAAGCCTGGACATGTGCTGCACCCCAGTCAGTGCTGAGGTAGTGCCGCACTGTCAGAAGGTCAGCACCAAGGGACAGGTAGTGGGAGCCTTACTGTGACACTGAATCTGTGCTGTCCCTGTCCTGGGAGTGTTTGGAACAAAAATGTAACAGTAATTTTGTTCATTAAAAGGATGACATCTACCTCTGTAAGATAGGTGTTTGCAACTTGTTCTGTTTGTGGGTGTAGACTTATGTTAATGTTTTGCTTGCAGCATCCCTGAATAATTGGCCTCCACTGCCTTCCTTCTGCCCAGTGAAACCATGCTTCTATCATGACATCAAGGCAGACATTCCCTGTGATTTCCAGAAGACTGTCAGCGTGATGTATTACCTGTGGATGTGTGAGTGTTGTAAAAAGACCAGCATTAAGTATGTTCACACCATCCCCTGGGAGAGTACAGTATTGTCATCAGATGGAGAGCCAGCGTAGTGACTGCTGCTTACTGTCAATGTGACGTTTATAACTGGTGTTTGTCTTTATTCACAGTAACTTCAGTTGTTCTCTTCCTCAATCTCCTGAGCAGTCTGGCCTGGTTCACCGTTAATACGGAAGCTGGAACACACTTTGGCCTTTCTATCCTCTGGCTGCTTCTCTTCACGCCCTGCTCCTTTGTGTGTTGGTACAGACCGTTGTACAAGGCATTCAGGTAGGTACCATCAGTCAATCTGAGGAGACATTCCCCACTCCCCGTTAATACTGACCCTCTTCCCCAGGGACCTACCCAATTAATACTGACTGTCACCTGGGGAGGTACCCCATTAATGCTGACACCCCCCCCCCCCCCCCCCACCCCCCCCCCCCGGCAACAGTGTCCCTCTCCCGGACACCCTCCACCTCCCCCCAACACTGGCTCCCAGGACCATCCTGGTCAATACGGACCCTTTCCCAGGAGCCAATCCCTGTCTGTACTGACTATAACCATACCTCCCCTCGTCACCACTGACTGACTTCCCAGGACCCAGGAATGAAGTTGAGGATCACAGTGTCAGCATGATGGACACATGGTGAAGTGCTGCTTTAAACTCTGTAGCCATTCGACTGGGCCTGACTTGTACTCATTTCCTTTTCTCCTCCTTTTGTATCCCCATTCAGGGCTGACAGCTCCTTCAATTTCTTCTCCTTCTTCTTTGTTTTCTTTGTCCAAGACATCGTGTTTGTTTTGCAGACAGTGGGCATTCCAGGCTTGGGATTCTGGTAAGTAACCGCTTCCTGTCCTCCACTTTCACACCACGTGGCCATGTATCCACTCTCAAGCCCCTGATACTCTGGGGTAAGTGGGCAGTGACCAGGAACAGGAACCCTGGCTGATTCCCCCCACACTCTCTCTAATATAGGGGTAAGTGGGCAGTGACCAGGAACAGGAACCCTGGCTGATTTTCCCCCTCCCTCTCTCTAATGTAGGGGTCAGTAGGCAGTGACCAGGAACAGGAA